TTTGAGATTATAAATTAAAAAATAAGAATAAAATTGAAAATAAAAGAAAAAAGAAGAGGAAATGAAAAAAAAAAAAAACTGAAATGAGAGTTTTCTAGAGGTTTTGTCGATGTTTTGAAGAAGAGAAGAAGAAGAAGAAGAAGATGGAGTGCTCTGGGAATTGACGTACACGTAGATTTCGAGAGCTGGAGTCGGAATTACGTTATCTTGCCCAATAGAATACGCCACGTAGATTTTGATATACATTCTTGAAGAATTTTTGATTTTAAAGGAAATTACTATTCATCAAAATCAATTTACCCCAGTAATTTCTTTTATTACCGCTAACAGCTGTCATTTTGAATGGATGGTTTCTGGGTAAAAACTTCAAATTTATACATATTTATCTTTGGCTTTTTCATTTTTTTTTTTTTGAGGATTCAAGACTCACACGAGCAGAGCAATTCCTCACATTTTTCAGTCTCATTCCGCACTATCACCTAGAACATTGATTGGATTGCAAAATATAGTCCAATAAAGATGATGAAAGTAACTTCCAAATATGAAGTATAACGCTGTCCCATATTTGGGATGTTGTAAAAAAAATAATTTAAACACAGATTTGAATAATTACTAGAGGTGTTTAGAACAGGGACGGCAATAAATAGGGTAAAACTCGAAATTCTCATATCTGATTCTATGATTAATTCGATTAGACGATTGATAGATTATCCGTTAGGATTTGATATTATAAAGTGTCATCGACGAGTAATTTACTAGGTTTTGATAAGAGGATCTTAAAATCTTATATGTATATATATATATATATATATATATGTATATGTGTGTGTATATGTGTGTGTGCAAATGTTTATGTTGTTGTTTATCCAAATTTGATAGTCTATATAATGTCAGTATATAAATATTAAAACATATTAATATATATTCTTAAGGAAGTGTATAGATATATATCTATATATATATATATATATCTTAAGGAAATGTGAGAGTATTTGTCTGAATCTTTTCTTGGATGTTTGCTGAAATTGCTCACGGCCAAAGGCATAATTAACTAAAAGCCGCAAATGGAGACAATGTCAGTCTGAATCTTTTTCTCATGCAAGTTCTATGACCCTATCCAAGTTTAAGACTCAACGTGATGTGGTAATTTAACAGGATATATATATGTATTAATTTTAATTTGATAAAAGTTAATTTTCTTTTATTGAATTATTCATATAGGGTAGAGGGTACTCGATAGGTAATTTAAATTTACAAGTAAGAGGGTTCAGTAATGAGAATCAAAACATGTAGGGTTTGATAAAAAATTTAGATAAGCAGATTAGAATTTGGTAAGAGATATTTTTGAGGATACTATCAACTATTATTCCTAGTTTAGAACAAATATTCTCACAAATTCTTTTTGCAATATTAAAAATTAAAAGTAAATAAACTATTTTATATGTGAACGTGAGTATTTTATATGTACAACAACATTCACAAGAAGAATTCCTATTTTATTGGCAAATAGCACTTAAATGCAGCCTACACAACAAAAATAATTGATTCTGTCGTTAACAAATTTGGCAAAATAACAAAACTCTACGCAGCTTTTGTGATTCACATGTTCAAGACAAATACAGCTAGTATCTAAGAATTATATATTGAAATTTTTTTTTTTTTTTTTTAACTGAAAACTAGCTTAAGTATAAGCAGAGGGAACTGGGAAGTGGGTGGTTTTCTTAAATTGGTAAATTGAAAAGTTTTTGACAAAAACTTTTAGGAAAAAAACTTAAGAATCGATGTAAAATAGGGTCCGAGGCAGTAGTAATTAAAGAGATTTGGACGAGAAAATGATTTATTTTTCTTTATTTTAACCATTCAAATTTGTTACCACCATAATTCAAGTAGAAGGAATCTCAGAAGGCAAAACATTTCGTTCCAATACGAGCGTCGCCATTGGCACTCTATTTTTCGTTAGTGGTACCTAATTTCCTTTGCACTTTTCCTCAAAACTGCATAAAAGAAATGCCCTTGAAAGAAAAAAGTGAATTGTCAATACTTTTTTTCATAAAAACAGAAAAAATGCAATACAATTAATGAAAAAAGAAAAAAATCGTTCAAAATATCCATTACATTTCGTCAAACGAAATTTTCCATCTTTCACTCTTGAAAATATTTGTTTGGATTGTGTTTTATTTCCCCAATTTTATCTGCTTACATCATCATTACAATTTCCAATACACCTTTTTATCTTCCAATTACCTTTTTATCTCACACACATCACATCACAAAAAGTGCTACAGTAAAAATATTCCAAATAAAACACAATCCAAACAAACCCGTACGTCCCTTACAAAATAAGTTAGTAAAATTTGATCCCAATTTAGATTTTTGACCACTTTTTGCCCTGAATCCAAAATGAATTGTCTTCTATTAGTATTTCCGCAATAGCTTGGTGTTATTTCAAAGAAATCGTCACAGATGCATTGTGCTCTGCTATGCAACAGTGGTATGGTAGCTTCCCATTTTTAGGAGAACGTTAAAATATTGAAAATTTTATTAGGTCAATTTCGATAGTTGAAGGTTTAGAAACAAAATGTCGAACTCTCTGGAGGTTGTTGAGTTTTCAAATTTGCTATTATGTACCATCTGCTATGGTACAGGGCAGTATGGGCATAGATCTTAATATGTCATGTGTACAAGTACAGAGATGGTTATATTTAACACTGGATTGTTTCTAGGCATGGATGAGAAGGTTTGAAAGCCACTCCTTCAAATTGGTGGAAAAAAAAGCTGATAGAATGCTGGTGAATTATGCTTTTCCTTGGGGAGTGATAATATACTGATTGCGGCATTGGTCCAAATAGGAAGAAAAACAAGAAATTATAGGAAAAGGAAATATTTGCAAGAAAGAGAAGATGCAGTCAAACGAGAAATCAGGTAATGATGGTAATCCTGTGATTGATTTGATTTTGCTGCAAGAAGCAAGATAAAATGATAGCTCAACGATTTGCTTTTGCTAGATTTTCATAATTAGCTACTGTTAATCTAGATATAATCGTCTGATTCCATTTTGCATGAAACTTATTCCATTTTTCAGTCTTTTCCCTTGTTTTTGTTTTGGTAATTCAAACTCTCTTTTCGCATTCTTTACAAATTAATCATTTTTTCAGTCTTTTTTCCTTTTTTGCTTAGAGCACTCGATATTTCCACATTCAGTGAGACTAATTCAAATTTGATTCGGGGAGCGCCCGTAGAGTTCGACTCTTACTCGCAGTGAAGATCCGTGCTGAAATTTTTAGTCTTTTTCCTTGTGTTTTGTATTGGTAATTCAAAATCTATATTCACATTCTTTACTGAAAAGAAAAAAAATAAGAAGAAGAAGAGAAGAATAGAGAGAAAAAAAAGTCTTTGACATTGAAGAAAAGTCAGCCTTTCTTAATTTCTGATTATTTATGTTTGGCCCTTACTTTCCAATGTCATCATCACAATCTTTGAGGATATTATTACACCCAAAGTATCAATTAGTAAAGTCTTATCATAATTTATTATTTAATTAGAATATCACTTTGACCATTATGTTACGTGACATTGGAATACATAATACACAGCTTATAGAGATTAGAGACTAGAGAGGAAAGAAATAGCCAGAGAGGGAGAGAGAGAGAATGAACTGTTTCTGTTTTTTTTTCCCTTGCCCCATAAACCTATTAAATATTGGAGATCATTAATCAACTCCGGCGGGGTAGCCACCAATAAAGTGCTTCATCTTAGTGTACATTTTTTTACTTGTGGCCAATTGCTTATGAATTTGTTGTAATATTGAAAACTCGCAGCTCTATTTGTCTTGGAAAATATAAACCAATATTAGTTTAGCGTATATTTTTTATAAACTAGTATTATTCTATTACCTGTCCTATTGTTCTTTAGTAATATGTAACCTTTCAGCAGTGTGTTACCTTTATAGGATGTCGTAATTCATCATAAACGACTTGTACAACTCTTTGGAGGAGGAATGGATTGAGTGGTTCATGGAAAAGGAAAAAGTGTAAATAAGAGATTATGGATTTGAGTCTTTTCACTTGTACTTTTTTTTAAAAAAAAAGAACATGCACAACCCTTTAACAACAATGTAAAAACCTATTACTATTTATAAGGGAAAATCATGTCCTTTATCTCAAACTTATGTGGTGTTATACAAACAATAACTTTATTTGAAATTTTACTTTGTCAAAAAAAATCTTGACCGTTGAAAGTTAGGATGATGGTTTTGACAACTTTCCATGCCTTTGTCCCCTTAAATTTTCCAATGTTTGGAGCTATAATTCATGCTATTGATCTCAGTCAAAGGCAATACTAATTCATGTGTTTACATTTGAGTGGTCAAATGTATTGTGTATAATATAATTAAAAGGGTTATTATTGTCGTAAACACACTATACAAATGGACTTAGAAAAGATGCAACTTGCTAATTGACATTTTTTTCCCCTTTTCCTTCTCCTAGTCCCTTTCTATCCTCAAACCTGACAATTAGAATTAGGTTCGAACTCTAATTTGTTAGATAAAACATAACGCCTCGAACCAACAATCCCAATAACTATTGGTTAACTTGCCAATTAACTTACAAAAAATTCACTTCAAAATTTCACCAAAAACTTTAGAATATCTCCGACCTGGCATCACAAATTTATACCCATTATTCAGAAAAATATACGCTGATTTAGATCAATTCCATGGGATTAGCCAATGTCAATGCAATAAAATTTGGGAAAGCGGAAAAGGGACAAAAGCGGCGCCTCCACAACTCCGGAAGCAATGGCCGAGATTAGCGGAAAGTTGTGTGGATTGCATATCAATGTGACACGTGTCAGTCATCCATGGCACCCCTATTCATATAGGCCCCACATCGACAAAAATTCTTTCACCTTTCACGGGAATTAGAAAACCTAAAAGAATTCCCAGTGTGAACATATTTTACGTAGCTTTTCAGAAGATCCCATTCTTACCATTCCTATTTTATTCTTTTTCCCATATTTTCTTTTCCATATTTTCTCCTTCCATCTCAGCCTCAATCTTCAAAAACCTTTAAAACCCTCTTCTCTCCAATAACCATTTTTCTTGCTCTATATTGTCCACTTCCGTATCCAGTTGCTGCTCCATCTTGCACTAAAAGCAATATGGTTTGTACCTTATATTAATTCTTGCATCATTATGTTTGTAGAGCTATATATGTGTGAATTTCACTTAATTGTTTGATCTTTGTATTTGATTTTTGAAGGTTGGATGTGCGGTAAGACTGAAGAAGAGAAAGCCAGAGTGGCTGAATACTTTGTTGGACAGCAAATTTTTTGGTTCATGTGCTGATCACCATGATCTTAGGAAGAACGAAAAGAACATTTTTTGTATTGATTGTAATCTTGGCTTGTGCAAGCACTGTATGTCTTCTTCTTCTCCTCATTGCCTTCACCAATGGTTTCAAATCTGCAAATATGTCTATCATGATGTTGTTCGCCTGCAAGACATTCAGAAGCATCTTGATTGCTCCAAAATTCAAGTGAGTATTGTTGAATTATTAGCTCATCTGGAAACTATAATTTGTTGGTCCCTTTTTTTTTTCGATGTTATTTGGTGGGATAATGGTTTCTTGATCATTAGATTAGTCCACCTGGTTTTATGGTTATCTGGTTATCTACCTCCATACAATTCAACCTTATCTTGATAATCTTATCTTAATTTACCAATTTTGTTTTAGGGCGGTTTTTAATGCTTCATTAAAAGCTTTATCTTGATTATCATTCCATCACAAGGCCCTGATCTAATCTGTTTAGCAAGAGGGATTTGTTTAGTTTGTTATGAAAATTGAATTTATTTTATCTTCTTTGGATTCGATGGATTTACTGTATCTTGTATTTCAATTCAAATGCTTTGGTCTAAATTACATTACGTATTTATCAAATTGCATTGTGCTAATGTAGCATTTCTTCACAGACTTACAAAATTAATGGAGAAAAAGCAATACACTTGAATCCAAGGCCTCAAACTAAAGACATCAAAATTCAGAAATCAGGGTGGCGCCACATGTGATGCTTGTGGAAGGCATATACAAGACTTGCCTAACAACTTTTGTTCCATTGCATGCCAAAGTAATTATTAGTCCCCCAATTCAATATCTGTTTTTTTTTTTCCAAAAGGGTTCTTGTTAAATTTTTTTTCCTTGTCAAACATGAAAGTGTGATCAATTTTTAAAATTAATTTGCAGGTGTCTATGGTTAAGGAAATGTGTAAAGAAAAGAACTGTAGAAAGACTCCAAATTCCGGATTTGATAATATGTGTTTGAAGGAGAATGAAGATGAGGATCAATCCATTTCTTTATCAGAGTCTTCTGAGGTAATTCAAGAAGGGTGGATTTCTATGCTAAAACCAAAGAAGAAATTGCACAAGAGGAAAGGTGTACCTCACCGGGCTCCCCTATGTTAAATCTTCTAGTGAATAAATTTTAATACTTCTTTCTCTTTTTTTTTAATCTAATTGTATTTTTTTTCTCATAATAATTCTTAATAAATTATTAATCAATTTATAGACAAATCATTCTCAAGCTGCCCCATATATACTTGGATTTTAGTTGGCGTTAGTTGGAATGTCATCCCAGCTTGACTTGCTATAGCAATTTCTAGTGGTGCAAGCTCTAGTGGGCTTGACTCTTTCGGTGGCATTAGATTTTTTACCATCTACTTAGATGATGCTTTTTTTTGTGTCCATAAAGTTGTTCTGATAAGTTACCTGTGTAGTCTAAAATTCAAACTCATGGACACAAAATTTCTTTAACTGTCGTTTTTTCAACTAACTTTCTATAATTTTAAATATTTTCTCATCTCACAATAATTATTTTAAATAATACTCTATCCAAACGTACTGAGTGACCTGTGCCCAGACGAAGCTCATCAGTTGCTTGTTGAATATTCATAGTTAAAGGTTAGATCAAGAATCATAAGAATGCAAACAAATGCTCGAGTTTACTATCATAGAAACAAACAAAGGCCCAGTTTGGCAATTGAGTTTTTTGGATGTTTGTTTAAAATTTTACTGTAGTTGACTGTAAAAGTTATAAAAAAAAATTTTAAAGTGTAAATTTTTTGAATATTTTGAAATGTATAATTTAAAAACGTTAAAATTTTTTTTAAGATTACTGTAACTAAAATTGTTAAAAAACTGGCCAAAAACTTGCTTCACAGATAAAAGGCCAAAGTTGCTTTTCCTAATTTCTATGAAAACGTGATACTGTAACTTTGAGAACATTGACAAAGCAAAGCACCAAATTCCTGACAACATTGAACAGCAGGCTTATTTATAATATCATTGATGATTGATTGATTTCAAATTGAATGAAACTGTGGTTTCTTTTTCCCTCTTTCCTTTCCCTTTTTTCTTTCTTTCTTTCTTTCTCCTGTTGGGCAGTCACAACTCACAAGATGAGAGCTTTGTCTTTGGTCGTTGTCGGGTGTGAGGGCGTCTGGTTTTGTCTGTTTTCTGATAAATGTTCAAATAGGGCCCAAAAAAAAAAAAAAAAAACCATTTGCATTGGGCAAACAAGCTTTATTTCTTTAGCTTTCACATGAGATTGTGGCAGACAAAAAGGCGCGTAGCATAATATGGGGGAGTCTGGTTTGTGGAGGATGCCAAATCAAGGGAATGTGACTAGCACATTTTTACATGGATAACTACAATTTTTCTAATTCATGTATCTGAAAATGGGAAGCATGTTGGTTGAGTATATTCAACATAGGCATGTGACATAGGTACTAGAAAGCTTTCGTTTGTAAAATAAAGTATTGCAATGAAGATATTCAGTTGTTGTTGTTGACTTCTTGTTGTTCTTCTTGTTGTTACTGAGTGGTTTTTCCCCCCGTTTGGTGCAAGGAAAAGGTATAAAAGGAGAGAAGATTCTCTCATGTCGAGGGAAGGACATGCTTTCGGTGAATTTGAAGCGATTTACCATGGATCTTATGAATAACACGTATCAACAAGAGTCCGATGAAGTGAGACTTGAATTCGAACTTTCATAGGTAAAATAAATGAACGAGGTTACCTGTTCTTTTTCTTTTTCCTCGCGACGATAATATTCATCCTACTCCTACACTTACCTACATTATCGGAGAGTACTCCTACCCTAACATATACTCTAGGAGAGGAGGAATCTAAAGAAACTTGTATAGAGAACGGAGCGTGAATCACCAGAAATAATGTTACTTTTCAGAAATTTGCTTCGGTGGTAAAATTCTAGTATTTATAACAAATATACAGTAATATCACTTCAATTGAGTGATTAATGCTTTCAGCATGCGGATTTCATATTTTAATTTTCAATAGTATCAAATGAAAATTAGTTCTAATAGGTCTATATTGTCCAAAACCTAGGCCCTGCAAAGGCCTCCACTAAGATGGGCTTGCCTGCCTATTAAATCCATTTTTTGGCCTGCCCAGAGTCTAAACGTATTTGAATTCTATGGCTCATAAATCTTGGGCACAACATGATTTGGGTTTGCTCACCTAGCCTAAATGCTCTAAAATATTTGTCTGATAGCCTCTAAAAACTTTTCTTTCTTTCACTTTTTTTTTTTTTTTTTGGCATAGAGAAGACTCATGTATGATGTAATCTTTGATAGCATCCATCCTGTCCACAATGTCACATGAATGCAATCATTGAGCACCTGAAACTCCGGAGACTCGACAACATGCCATGTCCATCATTTTCCTTGGTACAATCAGACCATTTTTTTAACTCCCACCTACCGGAAACATACACAAACAACAACCAGATGCCTACACATTTTGCCCTCTCTTTTGTATCAGCAATCACAGAACGGCACTTTTGCAGATATATATGACACGACACGCAGTCAAGGTCTGAACTCTAAAGTAATATACACCCAAATGATGCATACAAAAAATCTAGGCTTAATTATCATTTATCCCTTGCTATGTGGCTTATGGATAAGAAGCCAAATTAAATATTAGAATCCACATTTTGTTTTTGCCCTTTTCAGCTTAGTGCTGGCAAACCTTGTTATTACTTGATTGGTCTTTGAGTATTCCATAGGGTTCACGACTTTAAGGGCTTACTCTCCACTAATTTGTAGGAACCTGTTTTTAACCTTTGGTTTTGGAAAAATATGTCAAGTGATGATGATGGTTTTTATCGCCTTTCTCTTTCAGCAGAAGTTACAAAAGACTTGCGTTTTAGATCCTGATTTTGAGCTCTCTGAAATCAGCTTTTGTAAAAATCAGAATCAATTGAGAAACATGCGATTTAGGATCCAAGAGGGCATTGAAACCTCAACCATTCCCTGCTTTATGTGTTCAAAAAACTGATAAAATTCGAGGACAGACAAAAGCACCAACCAGTTGATTCTCTAGCTATAGAAGGGCCCTTTTGTGGCCACTAGATCATGCTTTGACTAAACAGTAGGGACTGAAGCACTTGCTACCAATTATGTGTTACAATCCACTAGCCAAATGTTTTCACTTTGCTAAATCATTGGCAATACATGCTCAAAAGAATAGCAAAAGATCTTTACTTTTAGGATTCTAGAGCCTCAATCTTTCTTTTATAATCCAGATTAATTGATTCGAATATCAAAGGCATAACAATTTGGCTAAAGACCAAAGGGAAACTCACGGAGCAATAGCTTAGCCCACTCCTAATAAAGAAATAAAAGAAAGTCTAGGAAAACAATCACCATATATAAGTTTTATATTGGCCAGCAATTGGAGTGTGAAGTGGATCAAACATTATTAATTTTGTCATAATTCAAATACGATTTTATATTCTCTTATGTCTCACTTTCAATGCCAATCTCTATTCTATTTTCTATATCGGCCTCATGTATAATTTTATTTGTATCGCTATTGGTACCATTTTGTCAAACATTTCCACGTATCAGGTGCTGTTTAAATACAGGGTGCATGATAACGATTGACACATGTGGTGTAATGGAGGATCCGAAAACCATCTAATACAAGACGAAGGTTTCTGTCTTGTCTAATTGGTTATGTATAGTTGCTAGCATTGTATAAATAAATCCCCCCCTTGATGTTTATGTCAAACCAGATCAAATACAATATGAAGTTATCCTACCTTAAACTTGGGCTTCTATTCTCCATATTGCTTTCTTTTTCTTGTTCAACATTCTCTCAATCCACAGCACCTGCAAGAATCAACTTTGCACTAGATGCAGATGGCCATCAACTCCAATCAGGCACAAAATACTACATATATCCAAGCCAGGGTGGAATGGAGGAGGGCTAGCCTTGTCAGCTAAAGATTTCGCGTGCCCGTTTTATGTCATGCAAGAAAATCTTGAAGCCTCAAATGGTGTTCCGCTAAGATTATTGCCTGTGGACAACAGACAGCAGAGCATAAGTTTGTCTACTGATCTCAATATTGCCTTCAACGCAGCAACCATTTGTGTGCAATCAACCGCCTGGAAACTTGGACCCGATGAAAATACGGGCGGAGATATGTGATGAGCAATGGTGTAATTGGCCGTCCCGGAGCTGATACTTTGAGCAGTTGGTTCAAAATAGAGAGAGATGGAAGTGGGAATGGATACAAGATTGTGTATTGTCCTGGAGTTTGTGCCTCCTGCAAGGTTGGGTGCGGAGACATTGGTGTGTTTATTGAAAATGGGAAAAAATGGCTTGGTTTGAGTGATGATCCATTTGTTTTTGTATTCAAGAAAGCCTAGGCGTGAATCATGAAGAATTTCATAGTATTGTGGTTAATGAATTCGGCTTCTTTGTTTCGTGTTAAATTTCAGAAGAAACACTAGACAATCTACGGAAATTTCAGTTGTTGTTTCTTGTTATAAGCATATTAGGTTCATCTGTTTACCATCAAAAGACAAACTTCATGGTTTAATTGTATTTGATGATCAGAAAATGTTTGAGAACATTGTGAAGAAAAGTTGTACAATTGTAAGAATGGATGAATTTGCTGGATTTAGGATTTTAGCTAACTGAAAACTGATAAACTCTTTCATCCCTAAACTTTTTGTTAATGTTG